GTCGTAAATCCCCCTTGGGTGCTTTGAAAGCTACCCATCTTAAAACTTGTAAGGGTTAATTACTTCCTTACACAAGACAAACTGTACAAAAACAGTGTATAAGACACTTAGGACCATTGCAGTGGAATTTCCACAGTTTTGTCTTCTAAACACAGATCAGGAGATCTGCCCTTGGAGGATTCTAACTCAAATTATAAAACAAATGACAAGGCAAACAATAAAATTACTTACAACCCACAGATATATTCCACTATCTCAAGATTCCTTTCACAAGACATAACACAACATCCACCTGAATATAACCATAATACCACAGAAAGCAAGTTCTTTAGATCAGACGTTTTTAAAATCCTTACCCACCCGGACAGGGGTCTCAAAGAGCACCAGAGAGTCAAAATCATTTATAGGTAGATAAATAAAAGCTTTTTCTTACCCGCTGCAGCTGATTAACCGTCTGGGCCCCGAGCCAACCCTTCTGGGTCCGGATGAACTGGATTCGTCTGATCCCGGGTTTCGGCACCAAATTGTTGTGGATCCAAATATAGACCTTTGTTATATTCAGAGGAAGCCCAAATTGTTATTACAAGTGCACTTGGAGAAGCGAGAATTAGACACCAGACACCTGTTGATATTCAAAATAAGCCTCTGACATTTTATTCATCAGCTGGGTTTTATACATTAAAAAGTAAGTGCTTACGTGCAAATGCTCTTAGAACAGTAATAGGAAGGGAGTACAGATAAGGGATGAACGTCATGTATACATAACAAATAAGTTCCAAGGTAAGAAAGAACAAAAAGATTAGAGAAGAGACATCTTAGGTGGGGGCTCTCTGCTCCCGGAACTAGACATATATGGTCTTAAGTGTTTAAGCATCAAGCATTTCCTGAGTCCAAGTTAGCCAATTTTAATATAGGATATCATTATATGACACCTATAAGCTTGAGCCTTGGAATCAAGATAAATTCTATCACAATAGTCACATTTTTTATCCAGTGTCGCACAGTCACTCATCCATTCCTGAGATCATTATTACTGACAATTTTTGGTCCAATCCTTTGTTTCTTGTTGCTTCTCATCAGGCATTGACAGGCATTCATCTGAATCATGCTCTGTGTGATGATGCTGAACGTAAAGACTGTTAAAGGGACACTATAGTCACCAAAAAAACTTTAGCTTAAGGAAGCTGTTTTAGTGTATATATCATAATGCTGCAGTCTCAATGCTCAAATATCTGTGATTTAGGAGTTAAATCCCTTTTGTTTCTGTACATGCAAATGGTTTCACTTTCAATTAGATGTAACTTACTTTAAAAGTTCGTACTACCTGTTCTCTAAAGTGAACTTTTATCATACATAATGCTTCTGTGGGGTCTAGCAAGCTATCAAAAGTGCAGGGGATGATACATTTTAACCCCTTAAGGACAGCGGGCGTTCTATGCCTTCCTTAAGGAACCGGCTCTAAACGCCGGAGGGGGGCATAGAACGACCAAACCGTCCTTTCTACCTACCCGGTCGCCGGCGATCGCCCAGGGAGTCCCCTCTTCGGCTCCCCCTGGGCCATGTGATCGCGTGGTCCTTGCAAGGACTTCGCGATCACATGGACGGCATAGCCGTCCAAGGCATTGCGAGCAGGGGGAGTGCCTGTAATGACAGGTACTCCCCCTGCTGCCTGAAAAAAAAATTAAGTTTAAAACAGTGTAAAATTAAATAATATATACTTAATATATCTAAGTATATATATATATATATATATATATATATATATACACACATACACACACATACACATATATACACATACACTGTCTACGTGTATTTTAATAAATATATATTAATATCAAATACACATAAAATGATATTGATTTAATATATATATAATTTTAATTATATATATGTATTTACATATAATATAAAATAAATAAATCTGTAAATACGTTAAAAAATAAAAAAATAAATAAATAAAATATATATGTGTAAATTCATTCTAACTGTATTTTAAAATGAATATATATATATTGATATCAATACATGTAGAATTAAATAATATATATATCTATATACGTATATATCACTATATATATATATCTATATATAAATAAAAATAATTTTTTAAAAATATATTTATATACACATATATATATATATATATATATATATATATATATATATATATATATAATTCTACATATATATTTATGTAATAATTTTACATAATTAGGTAATTGTATTAATTACAATTAGCAGGACCAGCCAAAAGTCCAGTGTTTGTGACCTAGTGGCTACTAAAAAAGACTGGGCATACCCCATTTGCAATACCTTGGGTTGTCTACTTTTGCAAATGCTATGCCATCATGGGGGTAATTCTCATTCCTGGGCTACCATACGGTCT